AGTGGTAGACTCGAAACAATATTTAAATGCAAAAAAATAAAAGTAATATGAGATGTATTAACCCAATTTCGTTGCGGGAAAATTCTTTTACCAGACATTCATCAACTTAAATGAAATTGGATGAATACATCTCATACTACTGAATTAGTGGTAGTCTCGAAACAATACTTAAATGCGAAAGATAAGGTAGGCTAGACCCGGATAATCTGTTTGCCCTCGTGTTAACATGAGACTTGTACAAGAATGACACCCAGCTCTGATGGTGTCGACCAAATGATGGACAAAAGCTCAGCAATTTTTTACCCGAAACGAGGGAGGAGGTCTCGTGGGCTGCATCAACCTGAACGTCGTATTAAAACTAAAGTGCTGCAATACAACCCGATTCAGCCGTCCTCTTCTGGTCAGATCGATCTTCCAATCTCTTCTTCATACACTTTCATATGAAAACGAAAGTTCATACAATAAGCTTTTCCAAAAGTCTAAACTGCCCAGTGGCATTTTGCGGACGCCCTCCAGGCGACTTTTATGAAAAACGAAATTGTCAATAGTATCCATGTCTTTTTTCAACTGTTCCCTCTTCACTTTTAACCGACTTTTCCCACTCAATTTGTTCCACATTTCTTGAATGATACAAATTGGCATTACAAAAATGGATAAATATTTCTTCTTTTTTCGCAAAGTTGCCAGTTTTGGCGCAAGCTGAGCTCAAGCAGACGCTGGAACTGATGCAGGCCACCTTTGCTTCGCTAGTCACCTCGTCCTGCCGGTACTCGGCCACTTGTCCGGCCACGAAGCCTGCACCCTCGAGCCCTATTCCACGTGCAGCGCTGCGCCTGCTCTGGCGTCTGGCCGCCGCCTGGTTGGCTCTGCTGCAAGCGGGCGTGTCACCGGGGCCCAGTCTGGCGGCCGGACTCGGTCTGCTCGCTTCGGGTGTCGGAGAAGAGGAGTTGTCGGCCGAGAATGAGGCGGACGACGGCCGTTCGAGTGGGCTAAGGGCATCGGTAGGTGGGCAGACGTTGCAGGTTGGGCCGTGGTCGGAAAAGAGACACATCGCAATTCGTGTGAATGGTGCCAGGGCCAAATGGTGATAGGTTGGAAAGATGTGAATAGTACAACATGTCACGCGTGATGAAGAAGTGGTAGTTCAATTATCCCACAATCTGATGGGTAGAGCTGATGTTTCCCATTCGATTGTACATAATTTTGCTTTCCAAAAAAAGGTCTTCTCATCTCGGCCCGAGTGGACTGCAGTTTCGAAAAGCCTCGTTTGCCTCTTATCAACACCCCAGCGGGACTCGAACTGTGAATGTGTAGAATGGGAGCTTGACACGTTAATCACTACGCCACCATTCCACGAATCCAATTGGATCACAGGCTGATGTGAATTTCAAAGAAGGCCAGGCATTTTTCATATCACATTCTGTAGTGGGATTGTCGCTGAAGTAGAGTTGTCTTTGCATTGACAATCGAAGACATTACTTATATTTCGTTTTGAGTAGGCTTTCAAGACTGTCATTAAACCTGTTGCATGAGATGTGTTCACTCTCTTTCGTTCGACCCCCGCTGGGGATTTTAATATGACTCAGGCGAGATTGAACCTACAGTTCACTCCAGCCGGAAAAAGAATACTTTTTGGGAAAGCAAGTGTATGTGAAGCTCAATGGACCATCACCTTAAACGAGATACAGTGAAAACTTGACTTATCTTTTTGACGAATTGTAGTTCGAGGCTGATGCCAGTAAAGCCTACAGACAAAGCCGTCAAAGCGGTTAGGTGCTGGAAGAAGACACTTTTTTCGCAGAATTAGCCACGTTCTTCTAAGTCGCCGTGACAACAGGGCATAGTTTTATCAACGGCATCTGATTGAGCCCGATCAGCAAATGAAGAGTGCAACATCATTTTTCTATTTTAGACCACAATTTATGAAGCAAGCTTGGATAAACCTACAGGAAAGTGATTTGCATTGAAACGAGGAGAAGGACAAGCATATTTGCCTGAATTAGCTCTAAAGTTGAGCTGTACAGGCTTATTTGAATAGACAGTTTAGATGTATTGGTTGCTTCATGATGGCTATTATTGTTGTTGCAGCGACCTTCACTTTGTATGTGAGTGCATGAAGAAGAGATTCATAGATTGATCTCACTTATCACTGATTTGGGACCGGTGTTGATAATGAATCTTAATAAACTTGCACACACTCGAGCAAAGGTAGTATGATTAATGGGAAAAATAATTATCCAAATCATTCTATGTTTATCCGTGTCTATGCATTTTAGATTTTTAGATATGAGTACATATAGGAAGTAGGACAGAGCCGGACAGTCTTCACGAATTAGTGTTTATTAACGCGAGACTTTTACATAAATAAGTTCCATCAGCGATGATGTCCATGACATGCCGGACAAAAACTCGAAACAAGGTGACAATAGCCTACGAGTCTATTCTGAATGTACTTTCAGAATAGGGAAATGAAACATTTGCATATCAAGAGACTGATTGAAATCCATTTGCTCTTTCTATCTACTATTATTATATGAGATTTATTCACCCAATTTCGTTTAAGGTGATGAAGGACTGGTAAAAGAAGAATTTTCCCACAATCATGTGAACAGAGCTGACGTTTCCATTGCATTTCACATTGCCTTGCTTTCCCAAAAGTTGTTTTCATCCCAGCTGGAGTGGATTGCAGTTTCGACCTCGCATCGGTCTTATCAACACCCTCAGCCGGAGTCGAACCGCGACAATGCAGCATGTGAGCTTGAAGTGTTAACCACCCAGCCACAATGTCACAAATGCTCTTGGGTCACAGGGAAGATGTGAATTTCAAGGAAGGCCAGGCCTTTTTCCATATTACATTGTTTGGTGGAATAGTCGATGAAGCAAACGTATATTTGTTATAACAATCGACTATGTTACTTTATTTTTCGAATTAGGTATTGTTGTCATGACTAACAGTATTCACCTAATTTCGTTTAAAGTGCTGAAAGACTGGTAGAAAAATTTTCCCACAATCAGATGAGTAGATCTGACATTTCCATTGAAACTGCTGTCCACTGATGTCTGGAGGAGAACAACTTTTGGGAAAGTGAAATTGAATGGAAACGTCAGCTCTACTTAAATCATTGTGGGAAAATTCTTCTACCAGTCCTTTATCACCTTAAACGAAATAGGGTGAATACATCTCATACTACTGATTTACTGGTAGTCACGAAAACAATACTAAATTCGAAAAATACAATCATTATCATCATCACCAGCAACAGCTGCGGCAGCAGCATTTGCAGCGGTATTCTGACTCAGAGGCTCTTTTGACCGACGTCACTGGCAAATGGATCGGCTGGATTGAAGAGGGTGTCAAAAGCATACGGGGCCTGGAGTATTTGGAGGTGTTCGTGAGATGACCGATTAAGCTGCTTCATAGTCGTTGAAGCAAACCTCACTTGATCACGTTGAAGTGAAGACGAGATCTGCTTTCGTCGCAGGACATTGGCGTCATGTCCCCTCACAGTCCGGCAGCCTTCCAAGCTGGAAGGGCCAATCATCCACGACTGGTCCTTCAGACTTTAAAAGCTCCCAGGCCGGACGAAGGCGGGACGACACCAGAGTTGCCACCAGAGCTGCTGGCACTTTTATCGCTTATCCTTCGAAACAATGTACCAGTTGTTACCTGCTCTTGTAGTAGCAAATGACCTCCCAAAATGCCGTTTGTCTTGCTACGAAAAAACTGTTGTTCCAGCTGAACCTCATCGTCCCGACAGCAAGCCCAACAGGACTCAAAAAGCCCGGAAATGTGGCTTTAGAGTCACACACACACACACATACACACACACAAACATACGTCAGCCTCAAGATATGGTACACTTTGTTCGAGTCACATCCTGTTATACGAT